GCGATATAAAGTTCACTGTCCGACAGCAGAGGGGAGCAGAAGATAGCCGGTTGATTATTTATCCCAATTATTTATTCCAAAATACTGAGACAAAATGAGGAAACTCAATGCAAAAGGCCTGGGGACTGATGACGGAGAGTTTGATCCCTTTTGGCTTCTAACTTGTGTGCAGAGCTGAGCACAGGAGAGGTGCTGAGGTTGGGCAGACTAAACCAGAGTATACAACAGCTCACTTGATGCGGGCACCCAAGTCTGACACCTCCCAGCAGCTGTGGGGCTGGCAGAGGAGTGGGGGACCCTGGCTTAGCTATAGGGGAGACCTGTACTCTCGGGGCATCCCTGGGTGGTCCCTCTACTTCGGGTATTCCTGAGTCTCTACTAGGTGCCTGTGACTTGGCAGTTTTGTGGGGAGAGACACAAAGAAAAAAGTTACATAGTGAAAGAATGTATTTTAAAAATACAATGGGAAACTAAAGTGGACAATGAGGTGGGGAGCCCTGAGCTGCAGGCAGAAAGAAATGAAAGCTGGGGTCTGGCTGCAAGACGGTGTGGCACAGGGGCAGACAGGGCCATAGCTAGAGACTGACTTGCCCCTGCCCACTGCTCAGCTGGGTGGACCTATTCTGTCACCTGCACCACCTTCCAAAGCATCAGTGTATAGGAATTGCCACCACTGGCCCACAGGGTGGTACCACTCACCCATCACACTCACACACACACACACACACACACACACACACACACACACACTCACACACACACTCACACTCACACGCATACACACACTCACACACTCATACACACACTCACACACACTCACACGCACACACACTCACACACACAAACACTCACACACACTCACACGCACACACTCACACACACAAACACTCACACACACTCGCACACTCACACACATACACACACTCACACCCACACCCACACACTCTCTCACACACTCACACACACTCACACACATACACACTCACACACCCACACACTCTCTCACACACTCACACACACACTCACACAAACACTCACACACACTCACACACACACTCACACACACTCTCTCTCACACTCACACTCACACGCATACACACACTCACACACACTCACACACACATGCATACACACTCACACACACTCACACACTCACACACTCACACACACACGCATCACACACACTCACACACACACTCTCACACACACTCACACACACACACACGCATACACACACACACTCACACACACACACACAGCGAGCAGACATATACTGATATCCAAACACTGTCCTGACTGTGTTTATGGTGCCTGCGTCCCCCACCAAGGACAGGGCCTGGAAGAGACAGGCAGACACCTTGCTCTCCATCTCCTCTTACCTTGACAAGTATGTCCTTGAACTGACCTTTCCAGGTAACATGGGGTGACTCACCATGAAAAGGATGGCATTATTACCTGATACTAGTCAGAGAGGAACATCAGCTCTGCCCAGATGTGTGCCTTCTCTGTACCTCTTAGCACTTGAACAGGGATTGGTTTGTGCACTCAAAGACAAGGCAACCAGGCTTCTGGTGCTCCAGTGTCTTTTGTGACTTGATATTGGAGTAGAGGAGAACCAGCTCTATGGCTGTGCCCATGTGTGCCTGCTCCAGGCCAGAGCTGCCTCCAACAGGAAGGTGAGCTTCTCAAAGTAGCTGCTCTCCTGGCAGAAAACAGTCATAGTGGAAAAGAGGAATCGCACACCCGCCCACAGCCACCCTCCAGCCAGAGCTCATACCAAAGGCAGGGAGGGTTGCACTAAGTCCAGCCACTGAGTGATCCAGCACTGATAATAAACTGTACCATTTTACTTAGCAACCAGCTGGGTCTTGTGACAATTACCAACTTTTGGAAGTAGCCCACCTCACAGCAACTCTCAAGTTTAAGTTCAAATTAGTGTTGCCATCTCTGAAAAAATAAAACAGGAAATGGGAATAATAGTCGGTTCACTTTAATCTCTCTTCACAGTGCACTTGTCTGGGACCCTGACTCCAATAAACCAATTCCAGTCAGAATGGCAAACAGCTGTCCCTTCTATTGTGACCTGTGTCCCCAACTGTGGTGGCCATCCCCTTTGCTCTCAGCCCTATCCCCTTTTGCCTCACTCTCTGGACAAGACCTGATTTCAGTCTTAGCTGTTCAGCTGCATGCACTGGAGAGGCGCCCCTCAGAGGACCACATCACGCTCTCCACTTCAGGTCATCCTCCATGTCTTCTCTCCCAGGATACCCTTGCCTATGGCATCTGCCCTCCCACGTCATAGGCCCCTTGCCTGTGCTTCCGTCTAGAGCCCACTACTGAGGCTTCAGGCCCTACCTGCTTGCCCACCAGGGCCACTGGTCCCTTTCTCTTCTCTATTAACTCCCCTCTGCACAGCTGGCCTTCAGTAAACACCCTGCTGATTTTCCTGTTCTAAAACACTGTCTTGACCCCTGTCCCCTGCTGGCTGCCATCCCACTTTTCTATTCCCCTCTGCAGCAACATCTCTTCAAGAGACTCCTTCCTTTGCCTCTCCCAGAGCTCCAGAACCCCCAGTCAGGCTTGGTTTAGCCCTAGGACTCAAGGTCATCAGTGAATCTCAACTCAGCTCTCCCACTCTGTCATTTCCCCCTGAGCTGCCTGGCGCTGCCTCCCAGCTACTTTTCACTGTGGGGGGTTGGGGGGGTGGGAGCTGAGGCTGGAGTCCCAGGGCAATGGTAACATTGCTGAGCAAAGTCAAATCTTAAGTCAGTCAGCCTTGACTGATCACGCCTGGTGTAGCCAGGAAGCTCCAAGAAGCCTCGGGTGGAGACTCAGGGACCCTCAATGGGACAATGGTGCCTACTGACATCAGAGCTCATCCACCTGCCCAGGTTCTGCCCTGGGTCTCTCTCTTACACATGCTTATCTCTAAGGCATCTGATAATCACAACCCTGCAGGCTGTGCACAGTGACTGCTACGACTCTCTCAGCGTTCTCAGCAAAAATCAGACATCCCTCAGAGGTGCAAGTCACCAACTGGGCTTCTTAAGGCCCAGTACACAAAGAAGAGAGGATTTCTAGAAACTCCAATACCAGCCAGCTAACAATCCTCTGTGAATTTAACTTTTACAATACTTGCATAGCACGTGAAAGGAACCTTCCCTACATACACAACGTTGTGCATATGTGTGTATATATATATATATATATATATATATATATATATATATATATATATATGGCTCTTTGCAGACATAACACCATCCACCGTCCCCTTATTTGGAACATTTAGGAATCACTCATCTGCATCCATAACAGGGGTCCTCCCTGGCCACAGCCCCTCGCCTGGTAACACAGCATCAGCAATTCCAGCTCATCCAGGAGGCAAGGCCACTCTGCTACACCAGGTGGAACTCATGACCATCCACATGGGCAAGGCACACGCAAGGGAAGGTGAGCCACCATAAGCATCCCCAAGACAGGACCCAGCTCCACAGCACCTGCATTGTAGCTGGAACAGCAGAAATACCAGTGAAGGGGCTCTTTAAAGCAAACAGGGGACTCTGTAAGAAGAACAGCCCAAAAGTGGGAGAAAAAAATGACACCGATAATTTGAAGGCCAAGGAGGCATTCGAGACCACAGGGAGATAAGTGCCCATGCATTGCTTCCGAAGCCCTGAGATGTGGCAATTTGTTCAGGTGACAAGAACTGAATTTTAGATTTGGGGGTTGAAAAGGATTTAACAGAGCTGAAGAATAATTAGCACAGGGAGTGTGGCTCAAGTGGTAGAGCACTTGCCCAGCAAGCACAAAGTCCTGAGTTCAATCCCCAGTATCACAAAAAAAAGAAAAATTATCAACAGAGCCTATCTCAACTTGGTGCCATTTACTTGGGAGGAGCTTGCTTTAGTAATTAATTTACAAACTGTACTTTTGTTCTATGCACTGTACTGCATGTACACATCACGATAACAGGCTCTGTGAAGAGGTAAGGAACACCCTGTGGAGAGGGGCCCTTGAGTTGTGAGCTGTGTTTCTGATGACAGCTGTTGGGACCACACCTGGGCTTGCTGTTACCTCTCTACTTCCTCCACCTTCTAGAGAGAGCATACACCGTCACTGTGGGTATCACAAAAACGTGCAGATAAACAAAGTAATCGTATAACCCAGTCGTCATTACCTTGAGACAACCTTTGGCCTGTTATTATTAGTTTTTTGGTGGTACTAGAGTTTGAATTCAGGCCCTTGTGTTTGCCAGGCAGGTGCTCTACCACTTAAGTCACTCCACCAGCCCTGATTTGAATCTTTTATGAAGTTATGCATCAAAAATTCATTGAAGCTGGAAACCAGTGGTTCATGCCTGTAATCCTAGCTACTCAGGAGGCAGAGATCAGCAGGACTGAGGTTCAAAGCCAGCCCGAGCAAATAGTTCTTGAGACCCTATCTCAAAAAACTCATCATGAAAAAGGTGTGGTGGAGTGGCTCAAGGTATAGGCCCCGAGATCAAGCCCCAGTACCACAAAAAGAAAAGAAATTCACTGAAGCATGAATTTCTTTTGCACAACTCTTTACAACAGCTAACCTTTTGCACAACACTTTACAAAATTGTTTGCCCACTTATAGATGATCCTGATATTATCAAAAAGCATCACAACAACCTGCCTTACCAATTTGCCATAAAAGGTCAAGAATGTCAATTCGTGCCAACTATACTACTAACAAGTGACATGATTTTAGAAAGTGATGTGGTTATACTTGTAATACTGGTAATTGCATGCTATTAAGATGGCTTCTTGGAGCTGATTGGTCTGACATGGGGTTTTCCAAGACCTTGGTTTCCCACCATGCATGTGAGCTCACAAAGCATCCTGAGGCATCCCAGAGGACTAAGACCCTTGCCTGGACATGGGGTTGGCACTCGGACTCATCCTGTTTGACAGAAGATTGTGTTGTGCAACCAGGAGAAGGAGAGAATGCTCTGGAGACTTCCTATGGCTTACCTCCTTCTACATCAGGGGCCATTGGTCTGTGGCAGTTGTCCATCACTGTCTAATCCTCACCAAGGTGGACAGAGGTGGAAGTCAGGGGCGACAGTAGAGTCATCATGATACAGCAGCTTGGCAGCCATACATCACAGTGGTCTCCCACCTGCAGGGATGAGACAGTCTCACATTGAAGCTCTCTCTAGGGCTGCTTTTAAGATCCTGGATGGCACAGGCCTTTTCCAGTTTGCTCAGGAGGTAAGCATCTTTCTGGTCACTCAGAGTACCTGGAAGGTGAAGTGAGTCTCCCATTTTCTGGTCGCTCTCTTCCTCCTCAAGGGGCAGCCTCCACTGGTGGGCTCCTGCATCCATGTCCTGGCACCTCTCAACCTTGACAGTTACCTTCCACACCTACCCTCCACTGGCCAGAGTGGAAGAGTACACACCTGCTTGCTCCTGGCTGTTCCCCTTCCTCTCCACAAAACCCATTGACCGTGAATCCGTGTCAGATGTTACCCAGCAGCTCTTGCTCCTGCCACCATTACAGAGCTCCTCATTCCCTGACAATCCCTTTGACTTCCTCTGTTCTGAGGACTTGTCTTCCTCACAACAGCAGCCAGTTGCAGCCCTGGCCAGGCCCTAAACCTTGCTAGAGGGCTGTCACCCCAGCAACTCCTGTCTCAGTTACGCCTCTGCCAGTGCCTGCCCCTACCCAGTTCACTGTGGCAAGCTCCTCAGCTCCACCATCCCAGGGACTGTGCCAGGTCTCTGTCACCCCCCTCCCCCCACCACCCTCTACCCAGAGGAGCCCACAGTCAAGCTGTATGGCTCTTAGCGTTCACCTTTGACCCTTTAGGTTGTTCCCAGTCCTGCACAGAGCCAGTTCTCTGTCTATTCCACATCTGGGACTGCAGAGTGACGGTCACACAACGTGCTGATAGGTTCCTTTAAATTCATGACTGTAAACCTCAGATGAGCTTGAAGTCCTCCTTCCTTAAGTCATGTCCTCTCTCCTGACCAACTACTTCATACTCTCTCTCCTCAAACTTCCAACAATTCCTCAAGGTCAGTACCTGGCTTCTTATTTCCTGAGAAAAACAGAAACCCTCAGGAGAGCCTTCCCACAACACTGGAACATGGCTGTTCACCTTGCCACACCAAGGTCAACTCCATGGCACACTTGACCCTTGACCTCTTTTCCTGCTCCATGCCAGGGTCCCAGAAACCCTACATCAATGTCACCCTCCGTATGAACCACTCCTGCAAGCTCAAGGAACTACCTTCTTTTCCACCTTGAAACAAAAACACAACAAATCCTACTTGTCTTGGCCTCATGGTACCCAGTTGCTGCCACTGTTCCACCTTTCTCTTCAGAGCACATTACTCAGGAGAGCTGTACATGTGTCCATTCCAATCAGAGTTATCACTCTCCTGACGCCACCTCTGCCACCTGTTAGTTTCATCCTCCGGCCACTTCCCAATTCTGCTTTTCCCTGCTATTGTGCCTTGACCTCCATGTGTGGCCCATTCTGTCCTCCACCCCACCACCATGCTATCCCACATAGGCAGTGGCTGTGAGCATTTCCTGTGTACCACAGGCTGCCACATGAACATTTCTAGTCTGCATTTCTCAGAAGCTTAGCTCCTCCAGCCAGCTGCACAGATCCACATGGTGTCTAGCAGGGGTCAAGACTAGTCCAAATGAGAGCCCTACCTCCCCTGGGACTGTCACTACATTGCTCCCACATCAGTGAGCACAAGTTCATACTCACTTTTCTCTCTCACATTCACATCGCCAGCAAACCCTGTTGGCAATTCTTCAGACAAAGTCAGAGGTGGACTGCACGTTGACACTCACCTTGACCACTTTCTGGGCTCTGTCACTGTCAACTCCCTGTGGTCTGTGCCAGTCACCTCTGCTCTCCTCCCTGCTGGGCCCTGCCACTCTCATCCAACTCTTAGAAGAAGACAACAGCTGTCTCCATATCACTGCCTCTTCCCTTTCCCAAGCAAAGACTTTACCAGCAGACAGGATGCTTACTGTTGCCCCTGGACAGTGTCATAATCAATTGGATGAATCAGAAGATCCCAGAAATTGGGCGTAAGTCATTGACCTTAACAATTCTTGCAAATAATGATCGATTGTGCTTAATCTGCCTAAACTTGCAAAAGAGGGCAAGAGTTAAGTCAACGGAAGAACCAACATAGTTAACAGAGTATTATCTATCTCAGACTCTCCTGGAAAACCTTCACAACCATGCCTCTGATATCTCTGGAGGTACAGACGCAAAGGCTCCTGGGAATCTCCAACCTCTTAACTTGGCCAAGTCTCACATCAGTGAGAAGTAGAGGCCCTGGTGGGGAAGTTCACTATGGCTCCTGTTGGCTGCATGTGCCACCTTCCTCTAACAGGCAGGATTGTCCTCCCTGATACAGGAGTTGATGGCTTCCCTCACCAAGGCCTTCTGGTGCTGGGCTCAGGCCAGCTGAATTCACATGGTAGGCTTATTGCAACTTTGCAAACTCATACCCTTGGTCTAGGTTTCCATTGTGTTCTATGAGGACCCAGGGATTATAGGAGGGCTCACATTCTTTGCAACATCTAACCAGCTCCAAGGAGCAGATAGGTTTTGTTTGCTTGCCTATTCTGCCTAAAGTTACGTGACCATTTCAATTCGTCACAAAACAATTGGGTGCTAAGTATTTCTCGGCTGAACGAATTGATGAGACAAGACCATTGTATGGGAACAGGGAGAAGCCCAGACACAGAAGAGATACCTAAAGAAACAGCCATAAAGAAATGAAGAGGTGCCAGGCACCAGTGGCTCATGTCTGTAATTCTAGCTACTCAGGAGGCCCAGATCATGAGGATCACAGTTTGAAGCCAGCCTGAGCAGATAGTTTGCAAGACCCTATCTTGGAAAAAAAAACAAAAACAAAACAAAAAACCCCCCAAACATCATAAGGTGTAGGCTCTGAGTTCAAGCCCTAGACCTGCGAAAAAAAAAACAAAGAAAGAAAAAAATGAAGAGGAAGCTGGGAGCGGTGGCTCAAGCTTGTAATCCTAGTGACTTGGGAGATGGAGATAAGGAGGATCATCATTTGAGGACTAACTGGGTAAATAAACAGGGAGACCCCCATCCCAACCGATGGCTGGGCATGGTGATACTCACCTGCCATCCCAGCTACGTGGGGAAACAGAATAAAGTCCAGGCCAGCCCAGGCAGAAAGCAAGACTGTATCCCAAAAATAACCAATGTAAAAAGTTCTGATGGAGTGGCTCAAATGGTAGAACAACTGCCTAGCAAGTGCAAGACCCTGAGTTCAAACCCCAGTACTGCCAAAAAAAAAAAGAGAGAAAGAAAGAACTGGAGACAGCCTGACTAAGCTTTCTTGGCCAGGGTTAGGACATGGGAATTGCCTCCTGATCGTGAGAAGGGAAAAAGTACAACAGACCACATAAAGTGTGAGAAGATTCCTCATCAGACAGAGGCCATCTTTCTGGGCAGTCTGGGTAGCAACTTAGGTTGCCACCATGTGGTAGTGTCGGGTAGTGCAGATGGCTGCAGCACATGACAGAGTGACTTGTCCCTGAACAGGGCCATATCTCATGTGTGACATAAAAGCAGGGATTCCAGATCAGACATTTCACAGGCTGTCATAGAAAAATGATAAAGGAAGAGGTGAGATGGTAAAGAATATTCTTAGGTGAGTACGGTGATATGTCTTGTGGTTTACAGATGATTTGGACATAAAATCAAAAGCTGGGTGCTGGTGGCTCACCCTTTAATCCTAGCTACTCAGGAGGCAGAGATCATGAAGATTACAGTTCGAGGCCAGCCTGGACAAATAGTTCATGAGGCCCTGTCTTGAAAATACCCAACACAAAAAAGGGCTAGCTGAGTGGCTCAAGAGGTAGATTGCCTGCCTAGCAAGTGTCAGGCCCTGAGTTCAAATTCCAGCACCACTAAAAGAAGAAAGAAAGAAAAATGGCTGGGGTGTAGCTCAGTGGTAAAGTATGTATTAACATGCACAATGCCTTGAATTCCATCCCTAGAACCTCCAAAACAACAACAAAAAACCCAAACTGAAAACAGAACAAAACAAGCCAGAAAAGGCTCGCAGACGTATGGTGTAAGGGCAGTGGGAGGGTGGCACGGAAAGACTGGAGGGGCTGCTGTGCGACTCTGGTTCACACAGAGAACAGCTCCAATTAATGAGATGGGGATGTGGAAGTGGGAGCAGTGTGGTGGCAAAGGACTAAGTGCGGTAGGCCCCAAAAGTCAACCACAAGGATGTCAGTTCCCAAAATTCGGGACAGTGCTGGAGAGTGGAGAGTACCAGCAGAGAAGGGAAAGGAAGCGTTGCAGGCTGGGAGGCACAAGGAAGAAAGAGTACTTGCATTTTGGAACACGTAGGCTCTGACACCCTCAGCCATGCAAAGCCATGTGGCCTTGACACACTGCAGCAGAGGGGCGGGGGACCCAGCACAAATCCCTGCAACAGCCAGCCTGGCTCGTTGAGTCAGTCACAACCTCAACCTCTGCACGATCAATTTTGCTGTCTGACGTTTTATTTTTTTTTCCCCTAAAGAAAGACAAAACAGTTCAATTTAGGTCTTAACATTCACCCCTGTAGTTATATACAGTGTTCATTTTTCCATTGCTACCTGGTCTCCAGGGTATGATGGTTCTGCAATCTATTTTTTAAAGGCCATCTGCATTGTTCTCAGATGTTTGTCAATGGAAATCATGTTGCTTTGAGTTTTCTTGTACAGGTCCCCTAAGACACACGAGCTGAGTTCATTTCTGGTTCATAAAGGAGAGAAAATTGCTTCGGTAGATTCATCTTCGGCACCACACTGTTTTCGGGTAAAATGAGAATCCCAGCAGGGCCTGTGTTGTTCACCCTCATCAGCTTTGATTAGGAGAGCTACATTTCTGCTGCTCTGACAGGAAGGAGCCCAGGGATGGTGAGCGGTGGTCTCATTCTGTACTTCCTTGGCAGCTCATGAGGCTGAATTCTTGCCTCAAGTTCACAAGCTATCTCTTCTCTAGCCAAAGGGCCTGTTCCAGAGCTTTCTTGAGTTTTTCATTTGTTTTATTTTCTTTCATTATATACTCTTCACACTAGTCTTTTGTTGGTTATGTTAGATTG